ATGAAAATTCATTATATTCTAATCTTTCGAAAATATAATCTTTTACTTTTAAATTTTTTAAAAATAATTTTTTTTTTATATAAAAAATTTTTTAATAATAAAAAAACACCCCGCCATTACTTTTTTGGGGGGCTGTATGTCTTTTAGATTTTTCCAACAGCGAAATCAGACTTGGAAAAAACATTATTGATCCCAAAGATTTGGTGGTGCCAAACCAGTATCTGATTCAACAAATTTTATCATTTTACTGGTGCAAGGTGGCTATTACGCTACAGTCTCACCGGTCACAATTAAGTGAAAGAGCATGCGAGGATTATGGAGTCTCCTCCTACACTATCCAAGTAAAAATATGTGGATATTCGGGAAATTTATGGCATTCAACCATAGATGCTACCAAAATTAAAAATATAAAACTCCCAATCCCAAACCCAAATCACAAATTATTCAAACACATTAAACCCTTTTCATTAATATCACTGCACAAATTACATGTTAATATTAATATGATATTTCAACAGTTGTTACAGATGAACATGACCAGGGAGGAACCCCTACCTGATAATTCGCACCATATAAATACATAATCAAAGAAAATCATTTTATAAGATTTTTTAAAAAAATTCGTAGACATGTCTCCAATAGAAAATTGGGAAAAATGTAATTATAATTCTATGATAATAATAAATTGATCTATATCATTATATTAATGCAGGATTTTTATTAGACGATAAACAAGCTGAAGATAAAGAAGAGGAGAAAATTGTTGGTAATGATTTTTTCGATTAAAATGAAATTACTTTTTGTTTTAATTTCATTGTGATTTTCATTTTTTTGTTATTGTTGAAGCACTTGATGAAGGTGATATTGCACTTCTTAAAACCTATGTAAGTTATTTATTATATAATTTGTCGGTTGATTTCCAAATCTGGAATTCTTATGCACATTATCAATTTATTTTATAAGGGTCAAGGTCCATATGCAAAAGAATTGAAAAAAATAGATTCTGATATAAAAGATGTACAGAAACGAATAAATGAAAAGATTGGTAAATTTTAAATTGGAAGTTACCAGTAAAATGATAAACCGTTAAATTGGTGACTGTTATGATGATAATATTAATGATATTGTTAATTGAATTATTTAGGTGTTAAGGAATCAGATACTGGTTTGGCACCACCAAATCTTTGGGATATTCCTGCTGATAAACAAAGAATGCAAGAAGAGCAACCATTACAAGTATTATTTTATTTTATAATCGTCATTATTAATAATGATTAGTGCCAGAGAAATTTAATTCGTTAATTATCAATTTTATAGGTTGCAAGATGTACAAAAATAATTGAAGCTGGTGAGGGTGAAGAAGCAAAATATATTATAAATGTAAAGCAAATTGCAAAATTTGTAGTGGCATTAGGTGAGCGTGTTTCTCCAACTGATATTGAAGAAGGAATGCGTGTTGGGTAAAATTTATATTCTTTTTTTTAAAAAAAGAAAATCTATGGCTTAAATTATATAATGGTTTTTTCATGTGTGTGTGTGTGTGTATAGCGTTGATCGTAATAAATATCAGATACAGATACCATTGCCACCAAAAATTGATCCTTCAGTAACAATGATGCAAGTTGAAGAAAAGCCTGATGTTACATATAGTGATGTTGGTGGTTGTAAAGAACAGATTGAAAAACTTAGAGAAGTAGTGGAATTACCATTATTACAGGTAAAAGATGTTATTTTAATAATATGTATATATATGTATATATATATATATATATATATATATATATAGTAATTACAAATATTTAAAATTTTTATTTACTTAATTTTTTTCAGCCAGAGCGATTTGTAAATTTAGGTATTGATCCTCCTAAAGGTGTATTGTTATATGGTCCTCCTGGTACTGGCAAGACTTTATGTGCGCGTGCTGTGGCAAATAGAACTGATGCAACATTTATTAGAGTTATTGGTTCTGAACTTGTACAAAAGTAATTGTCATCCCTAATTTTAATTTATTAAATGTATCTGTTTTATAAGTATTAATATACTAACATTGTTTTCATATAGATATGTTGGAGAAGGTGCAAGAATGGTTCGTGAGCTGTTTGAAATGGCAAGAACTAAGAAGGCTTGTATTATATTTTTTGATGAAATTGATGCTATTGGAGGTATGATGGATTTTTTTATATGTTATAGAAAATAAATAAAATCTTTTGTTTGTTAATCAATAATCTTTGCTGGTTTATTAATAGGTGCACGTTATGATGATGGAGCTGGAGGTGACAATGAAGTACAAAGAACCATGTTGGAATTAATAAACCAATTGGATGGTTTTGATCCACGTGGAAATATAAAAATTTTGATGGCTACAAATAGGTAAGCAAATAAATAATTATTGAAAATGTTAATAATAAATATTATGATCATTATTTGATTTTACCTATTAATTCTTTTGCAAATAATAGACCTGATACACTAGATCCTGCACTTTTACGTCCAGGTCGTCTAGACCGTAAAGTTGAATTTTCTTTACCAGATTTGGAGGCATCTATTAAATTTATTCATTGTTTTACTTTATTATTAGATTTTCGTAAATATTTTATTCTTAAAAATTATTTACTTGTTATCTTATAGGGTCGTACACATATTTTAAAGATTCATGCAAAAAGGTATTTTTTTAAAAAACTATTTTTGAATTTTTTGATTATTCATTCTATGCAAATTACATATTTATATATAATGATATTTTTGTTGATGTTAATACAGCATGTCTGTAGAACGTGATATTCGTTATGAACTTATAGCTAGACTTTGTCCAAATAGCACCGGTAAGTATACTGATTGATTGATAAACAAAAATTTAATATACATTCACATTATTTATCTTACATATATATCTTAAAATAGGTGCTGAATTAAGAAGTGTATGTACAGAAGCAGGAATGTTTGCTATTCGTTCCAGAAGAAAGGTTAGGTTTATTATAATGTTTTTACTTTTTATTGGTCATTATTATTATTAAATAATAATACATATATACATAAATATATTTGTATATAGGTTGCATCAGAAAAGGATTTCTTGGAATCTGTTAATAAAGTTATTAAGGTGCGCATGAATGAAATTTTTTTGTTACATATTTTTATTTGCCAAAAATTACCATTTTGCTAATATTATATTTTTACATTATAGTCTTATGCAAAATTCTCTTCTACCCCAAGGTAACCTTTTTTAAATAATTTTGATTTCTTTTTTAAAGTTAATTTATTAATTATTAATTTTTTCTTTTTAATTAGATATATGACATACAATTAATTAGAGTAAAAAGTATGAAAAAAGTTTTTATATTAATTATTAATTATTATTAATTAAATAAATAAATCACTATTTTAAATAAAATAAACAGAATTTTACATTTTTAAATATACAATAATCCAAAAATCATATAATAACAAAATTATTGAAAAAAAATATATTATTGGTATAGTTGGCTCGGTCTAAAATTCTGGGCAAATTTTAAAAGTATTGAAGTCACTTTCTGTCCTACCTTTTTAAAAATAGCTCTATCAGTTGATAGAATATGTCTTTAGTTTTAATGTAATAGAGATTTTCTCAAAAATTATTTGTTGTAGAGTTCTATTCTTTTTTAAAACATGTACTTTACTATGCTCGCGAGGAATGATCATTTCTAAATTTAGGAAAATATTACTATCGTATCTAAATTTGGCAGTAAGAAAACCAAAATCACGTGAAGTCCTATTTTTTAAAAAATTTTATTACATTTTTGAACGAAATTTGGCCGCATGGCGCAGCAATAGAAGGTCTTTAGGCCGAGCCAACCATACATTAATCAACATGTAAATAAATTCTTAAATAAAAATCATCTTGTCAAAAACATAATAAAAAATTTCTTACCTAATAAAAATAATTGCATTTTCTATTTCCTTTTACACTAATAAATTTAAATAAATAAAAAATTGACTAAATTATATTTACATAATTTATATTTACCCTTGATTGACACCTTGAGATCTATCTTGACAATATCCAATTTTTTGAAATGGGGTTTTTGTGAATAAAACCAGCTCAATCCCAACATCATCATTAACACATAAATCAGATAAAAATTCATTATGCAGATTATTGACTTTTAATTTTTTTGTGTCTTGCTCATAACATCTCCTTGTATGTGACTGCCTCCATCCATCAAATATTCATGATGGTCATGATGTTATAATTGACATAACAAACAATTTCATCACCCAAATAGTAACAATACCAAGGCCATGCATGAATGAAACTCTTAACAATGTATGTCTACCTGAGGATCAAAAAATAATTCTCCTTCTCATTGTATAGTTCCTTATGAATAATAAAACTGATGTTGATCACAGGTATCAGATTTAATTAAAACTTTCCTGTCGCAAACACGCAGTCAGGTGCTTTCACACGCTTCAGCACCATGAATTTTCTCCACAGTTGAAGCACCCCACATGTTGGAAGGCTTTGGACAAAACTTTCCCTTATCTTCCTCTCAGACCAGGCTTGGCTGTTACCATATGATTGATTGCTGATGAGATCAGCATTTGGGTGTGTTTGCTTTGTGTTATATCCAACTGATTCAAAATTCTCCAATACAACCTGGGTTGTTGTTTTGGATTCAGAGTTTTGAGTCCTGGTTGCTGTCTTGTTGGTGGCACACCTTCTCATCAACAACCCTACCCCATTTATTTAAATAACCAATTCAGTTGGTCAAAATAAAAATTAAAGAGAAACAGGAAGTTTATGGGAAATGATTAATTTATAATATATCAAACCATTTTATTTTACAGCCTTCCTCCTAACATCAGAACCCAAATGCAATTTCAGGGCCACCAACCCTGCTCTGAATTGTAACCTCATGTGCTTGAAACAAGTTGCAGATTCTCTTTGCTTTGATGGATCTGGATATTTACATGGCAGCTTGGTCACAGTGCCATCCTTACCTAGCGGTGGGATCGTTGCAGGCAACTTTTCGGCCAGCATGCCAGCAGCCTTCTCTGGTCTGGGTGCTGTGAGGAAAGATTAGTGAAAAGCGTCCTTGACGATTGATGCAGTCTCGGTAAACTCCAAAGCCACACAATACCCTTGGAATTCTGTAGCATCATGTATCTTCGATCAATCAGGTCAGATTAGCCTTATGTACATGAGGAATGTGTGAGAATGACTGTAAAGTGTTCAAGATAGTGTGCGTGCTTCAACGTCTCTAAAAATTTCCGATAATCAAACGTTGCATATTTGAATTGTCTCTTTTTCAACAATGTGCTGTCTTGACATCTTGTGATTATATAATTACAATAATAGTATTATTATTGATTACGAAAAGCAAAATACCAAACATTTGTTGTTGATAAGGATCTTATACTGCATTTTGATTTCCAATTAAAATATTTATAATAACCAAAAAAGACAATACAAATAAAAAATAGTACCTCTGGTTAGTTATTAACACGTTTTCTTTAGGAGACCCAAACCAAACCAAACAACAACACTCATGTTTTATCATGTTGTTTTTCCAAAAAATCAATTCACATCTGTCCTCCCAAAAAAAAATCAATAGGATAAATAATTAATGTGTACACGTCGATCAAATAAACTTCTTTTTTTCTTAAAAAAAATTTGTAAAAAAAAATGTTGTCAAAAAAAATATTCAAAAAAAGAAGCAAAAACAATAAAGAAAAGAAATTACTGGTGGTGGTGGTTATTGCCACTCATCATTACTCTAGTTGATTTAATACATTTATTTTGCATTTAGGCAAGGATTCATCAGAATGGAAATTTCTAAATCACAAAGATCCTATTTTATCAAATATCAAGAAGGAGTTAAGGTATTCAAAAAAGAATATCGTAAATGCACCAAGGAGTTGAACAATATGATGAAGAGATTAGATGAATTGAGAAAAAAGAAAGTGATTAATTGTTATGAAAGTGAAGTAGATGATTTAGAAAAAGAAAAACAGGAACTCAATAGAAGAAGAAATTTGAGATCAAAAAGTGGGGGGATTCATTAATTGAAAATGTAATAAGAAATATTCATTATTTACAACTTAACTTTTTTTAAAATTTTCAAATTAATTTTATTCATTTTGAAATTTTCTTTGTTTGTTTCCTTATTTGGTAAACATTATATTAATATTCATATTAATTCACTTTATGAGATATAGTACCAAAAGAGAAAAATGAAAATAATATACTTAACAAAACAGAAATAGAAAGTGAAAAATATGCTAGCCATGAAAAGATGTTTTCAATATCAGGAGTGAACACCAGGAAAAGAATTGAAACTGCTGCATATTATGGTGCTAATCAGCAAATAAATTGGAAGTCTTTTGTTAAATTCCCAGTATTTGGTAGTGTGAGATGTAAACGGGGACTGAGGAAGTCCCGAGCATGATGATAAATCAGAACCAACTTACTGTGGTAGTCACGTGATAATAACATCATTTTCTATTTTTATCTCAATATTTTGTGTAACAGCTGCGACTCACATTACGTCATGTTACACGTGTAGATCATTACATCATTTCTATTTTAACCTATTTTATGACATAATTATTTACTTCAAATTATTAATCAAATTATTTGTAATAATGACTCATAGTATTAGTACAATTCACTCTCTCTATAACGGCTCCCTCTATAACGGCCTCCATTCTATAATGCACTGTAAACCAGAAACCAAATTTTTACTATATAAAAACCTTACTCTATAGCGGTTTCTTAATTAAATTTCCTATAGCGTATAATGGCCAGCCTCTGAAAATTCTCTCATATGTTTTATATGTTGTCTATA